CACCGCAACCCCCCTCCCCTACCCTAGTCCCGCCTGTCATTCGTCGAGATTGTGTGAAGTCACGGACGGGGGACCTCGCGTTTGATTCCTCTCGCTGTCTCCCGTCTCTCACCCTCGCTCTGGGAGGCCCCCAGATCGGTGAGCAGGGTGCAGATGTTGCGGTGACTGTCGTACGACGCCGGGTGCTTCAGCAGGTTCAGCAGCTGCATCTTCATGTGCTTCCTCACTGAGTTCACCTGGGACTTGGAGAGCGTCGGAGGCAGGTTCGCTGCGGCAATTTTTCTCATGAGTTTCTTACATCAAAGAAAGCTAAAAATTTCATGAATACAATGCCCAATCCCTTTCAGAGTTCAATATCATTTTACAACTTGGCGGTTACATCCCAAATTTACGTCATCCCATACTGCCTAACAAATGCACTTGCAGGACATACTTAGATACTCTGACGTACTATAACATTGCGTGCAATACTGCTCAAGTGTCAATATTTCCACAGCACTAATAAGAGCGCTCCGTTGCAGCGCGGCTGCGCGGCATCGGGTCGGTAGCGCCGGGGCCGGTGGACGCCGCGCCACTGTACTGACCGTGCAGCGACTCCAGCGCCGAGATGACCTGGGTCAGCAGCGACGGCCGGCAGCGCGCGATCAGCGTCAGCGAGCCCATGCACGCCATCAGGTTGACGCTGCTGATGTGCGGCGAGCCGTGGAACTTGATCAGCTGCGCGAACACGGACCTGGCGGCGGCGCACAGCGGTCGGGGCGACGCAGGGGCAGCACGGTCGGGGCGACGCAGGGGCAGCACGGCCGGGACGGTACAGGGGCGGCAGGTCGGGACGGCACAGGGGCGGCAGGTCGGGGCGGCACATGGGCGGTACGGTCGGGGCGACACAGAGGCGGCACGGTCGGGGAGACGCAGGGGCAGCACGGCCGGGGCGACAGAGAAGCGGCACGGCCGGGGCGACAGAGAGGCGGCACGGCCGGGGCGACAGAGAGGCGGCACGGCCGAGACGGCGCCACAGCTCCCTTGTTGATCACAGCCGCGTCAAAGGCACGGCGGGGCTGAAAGCGGCCAGCGCGGTATTACGGAGGCGGCGATGGGCCGGCTCGGGGCCCAGGGCTGCCACACGCCAGCCGCGTCCCAGTGACCACACAGGACGTATAACGCGGTTGGAGCGGCGACGCAGAGGCAACTCGTGGTCTGATCGCGGACAGGGCGGCGTTCGCCCAACGGCGGCAGCCTGTCTTAAGGCAGCATCCCGTCCTATGTCCACAATCTATCCTATAATGGCAGCCTGACGTCTGTCAACAGTTCGTCTCATGACGACAGCCTGCAGGAAGCCCCACAGCCTGTTAACGACAGCGGTCTGCTCTTAGTGGCGCGGCCGCCATACCGGCCTGGTGGCTGCGGCCGGCCGTCCTGGCCGCCACCCCGGGCCGGCTGCCACCACCGGGCCGGTGGCCGCGGCCGGCTGGCCCACGTACCGGGCCTCCTCTTCCAAGCTTGCGCGGCCCGCGCGATCTTGAGCGTTATAGGCACGCCGTCCAGACAGAACTCGGGTCGCTTCAGACTGCCTGGCTCCGAGAACGTTTGCAGCAGGATCACCGTCTCCATGAACTTGACGGCCATTGTGCGCACACTGCGGGAGGGCCATCGACACGCTGTAAGGCCTGCACCGAACGGAAGCATCACGCAAGACAACTGAGGCTGAGGGACATGGGTTGCGCGCGTCCCAAAACGCGGGACTTGCAAGCTTGGTGCACGCCGCGGCTCCTTAACACCGACGGCAAACGCACGCGGAGGTGGTAATGTGACGGGACGATACCAAGGCAACGGACACACGTCCTTAAATGCTTTGCAACAACGTCAAAACACGATAGCCCTGATCCCGAGAAGACGTGGCAGCACGCCTACATTCAAACAAGACACCAGGCTACGCAGCAGCCGACGCTGCCGACCGGCAGGGTTCTCCGGCGCACCGCTGACGAGACGCCGTCGCGAGCGAGCGTTGGATAGAGGACGCGGAGGCTCGGGCCGGCTGCGTCTGTGCCGCTCACCCGTCGTTGTCGTGGTCGACGTAGCCGATAATCCGCCGCTTCATCTGACCGAGCATGCTCCAGGCCGAGTCCATCACCTCGGTCACGGTCCGGGCCGAGCTGAGCCACTGTAGGGTCACCTGCGGCGACCAGCGGACAACACGGGTCAGTGGAGAACACGGGTCAGCTGGGGTCATCGCAGCGTCGCCTGCGGCGGCCCAGACAAAGGTCGTCAACAGAGGCCACGGGTCAACCGAGGCCACGGTCCAACCTGGGCCGCGCCAATGTGGCGGTGAGACACAGGATCAACCGGAGGCAGAGAGATCACGGGGTCAACTGAGGCCGCGGTCCGGGCTGAGCCGGACCAATATGGCGGTGAAACACAGGATCAACCGGAGACAGAGAGGCCACGGGATCAACAGTTGACCCCAATCGGATCGAAGTGAGCCAACAGCAGCATGACCTGGGGTCGTTTGTTTATATGAGACCGTCAAAGACCATGGAGCTCACAATGAGCACGAAGTCAAAGAGTGGTGAGACAGGCTGCAAAAAGCCAGCTCGAAAAATGGCTGTCAGAAAGGACTGTGATCCTGGATGGACAGGAGTGAGACATCTGTCCACCTTGATGGCAGATGCAGCGCCTGTCACTACCAGCCCTAACAAAGAACCATAACACATATCAACGAGCACCCACGCAAGCCACGACCAAGCCCCCTCTTTCTTTTTTTAAAATACGGCAACATACGGGCGCCAGATGCATGCAGTTCAGAACTCAAGCCTTACCCTGTATATGTTGGAGATGGCCTGCATGGTCCGCTTGACCACTGCCATGGAGAAGCTGTCCTGCAGCAGGATGCCCAGGTTGGCCACCACCTTGGGGATCATCTCATTGTCTTTTTTGCTGTGAACGCGGGGATGTATGTCAGCGGCTTATGGTCGAGCCAGCATGTGCCCATCTGACTTAATCTTCGCGCATAAGCACTGAAAGATGCAACCATAACCTGGCCATGTCTTTATCAATGGGGCAGGTGAGTTCCGGACCAGTGATCACGCAACCATGAAGCTTTTGGGTGACCACTTCATGGAAAGATAGGGTGCATCAGCTCTAAAACGTAGTTACACATCATTTGTCCCAAGGGATCTACACTGGGTGTGGTCACTAGACAGTGTGAAGACGCAGGCATTTTTCGTAGTGTTTTTTTTTTGCCGTATTTTTTTTCGTAATTCGTAACGCCGGAATCCTGATATAGGAAACCATCCACTATTA